TGTCATGAGAGAGTAAGTAATGAGAGTGTCTAAGTTGTGATGGGCCTGTTACTGTATGAGGTGACTTTCTCTCTGTCTGATGAACCTGTTACTGTATGAGGCGACTCGCTCTCTGTCTGATGGGCCTGTTACCGTATGAAGTGGCTCCTTCTCTGTCTGATGTGTCTGTTACTGTATTAAGCGGCTCCCTCTCTGTCTGATGTGTCTGTTACTGTATTAAGCGGCTCCCTCTCTGTCTGATGGGTCTGTTACTGTATGAGGTGGCTCCCTCTCTGTCTGATAGGCCTGTTACTGTATGAGGTGGCTCCCTCTCTGTCTGATAGGCCTGTTACTGTATGAGGTGGCTCCCTCTCTGTCTGATGGGTCTGTTACTGTATTAAGCGGCTCCTTCTCTGTCTGATGGGCCTGTTACCGTATGAGGCGGCTCCTTCTCTGCCTGGCAGGCCCATTACTCACCTGCCCCAGCTCCTCGTTCAGATTAGAAGTCCTTGCCATTGCAGGCATGTCCATTTCTGTGTAATACATCTCCATATCCTGGAGGAGAGTGGAGAATGGATAGGGAGATGAAGGAGCAGAAAGAGCACCATACACACTCACACACAAACACACACACTTACCCAGTTAATAAAAAGTGCCTGCGTGAACCGGACCACCTCCAAAGTCACCAGCAGGCTGATGGGGATCAGGTTGTTGTAGAGGATGATGAAAGTCAGCAGGTTGTACATAAAGTTAGTGGAGATGTCACCTGCAGATAGAATGGCAGACAGACAGACACCTTGGGATTTCATAGAGGGAATGGTGATCAAGCGTGTGGCTCTTTATCTGTGTGTAAACTCACCTGCGCGAGACAAGTACCAGCAGGCCTCGTCGGTGTGCTGCTTGTTCCAGATGGCAGCACCCACTGAGCTCACCAGTGCCATCACCAGGAGAATGCAGAACAGCACCAGGATCTGCACATTGGTCACACGCTCTACGTTGGATCGTTTCAGGGGAGCCTTCGTTGAATTCTGAAGCAAGAAGGTGTCTGCAGTTATAGCTAGCCTGCACCAAATGGCAGTCATCACAGTTTCCACATTCAGTTTCTTAATTTCAAATCAATCTTTAATTAGATTTATGCTATCAACTCATCTGCCCTACTAAATCTAGGAAACTTCAGGTAATACAGCAACATAAAAACCATGTAAAAACAAATAGCAAGGAGGATTAAGCATAAACACAAACAAGAACTATACTTGACAGAGACAGCGAGGAGCAACTTGTGAATTGTTATAGTGGTAATTTTTACTGATGCCTAATTATTTGTTTGAGAACCTTTAAACTTGACACACCTGCATGAGTTTGGAGTCGTGTCCGGTATAAACTACGATCCCCACAACCCACTGTGTGTTCCTGAGCTGAGCACCACGCAGCAACACCTGGTCTGGCCCCAAGGGAACTGGACTGAAACACAGAGAGGTTTTAGTTCAGAAAAGGGCTACATGCAATAAGGTGTGGAACTGTGCAGAAGGTTGTGAAAGTGCATAGTACTGTACTGTAGAGTGTGTAGGTGTACAGTAGGGAGTGTCGGTGTACAGTAGGGTGTATAGGTGCACAGTAGGTATACAGCAGGGTGTGTAGGTGTACTTTTTTTGGGTGCCTGACTCTTGAGCTGCTGCTCCCATCTTTGTTAACTTTGTGCTTTAAAACATGTGATTCACCGTCTTATAGAATTACTTTTACTCGCATTGAGCTTCTGAGCATTAAGGAGTCAGTTCAACCTAAATTATCTCCTGTGTTTATTTGTGAGGTAGCGGATTTTATGTGCAAGACTCCACCGAATGAGAACAAGGACAACGAATGTAAACTGCGCTCCTCCATCCTTTGTTTAGGTGCCAGGCTACCAGTTATCACGTGGCAGCAGTGTGTGAGTTTACACACAACAATGGTAAATGGACACATCCACAATTTCTTCATGTTCATCCACAGATTTAGAGACACTTTTTGTCCACTGCAAGCCCTTCTACCTACCAGAGAATTCCACTCTGTTATCCTGTCTGGAATTTACATTCCACCAGGCACAAATGCTCACATTGCATGACGACTGCTGGCCGACCAAATCTACAATCTGGAAAACAAATACCCCAGAACTGTGATTTTCATCATGGGGGATTTAATCAATGTAGAATCACCTGCCCAAATACCTCCAACTGATAAGCTGCCATAGATGTCAGGACAGTACTCTGGACCACTTCTTCACCAACATTAATGGTGCATTCCACCATTTTCCCCATGCTCCCCTTGGCAACTCCGGCCATGCCATGATTAAGCTTGTGCCCAGCTATAAAAAAAAAAAACTGGAAGAGTCTAAGCCTACAAAGACCATCTGTCAACAGTGGACCCTTGTAGCAGCAGGAACTTTGAGGAGACTGCATAGGATGCACGAACTGGAAAGCCATGGAGGGTTGGTATACGCTGAATCAATATGCTGACACTGTTACATCCTACATAACCTTTTGTGAAGACCTGTGTGTTCCTAAAAAGATCATAGTGAGGTACAATAATGACAAGCCTTGGTTCACTATGGAGCTGAGGGTTATCAGATCTGTGAAGGATCTCGCACTTAGGTCCGGCAAAGGCCACTTACAAGGATCGGCTGGAGACAGACTTCTCCATCAACAACAGCTGGGCCGTCTGCAGCTCCCTGCAAAGACTTCAAAGTGAAGAGCTCCTCTGCCTCTACCTCCCACACCCTGGCCAATCAGCTTAAATTCTACTGCTGGTTTGACACTGACAATGTTCATTCCCACCTCTCCTGTGTCTGCCCTTTTGCTAACCCTGCCCCCCATCCACTTCTGAGGATAGTCCCATTGTCACCATCTCCGCTCCAACCAGTCACTTCACACCTCCTCCAGCCTCCCCTCCACCCATCCTTCACCCAGGACTCACTGTGAAACAGGATGATTTTAACAAACTCTTCACAAAACAGAACACCAGGAAAGCTTCAGGCCCTGATGCTGTATCACCTGCCACCTTAAGGCACTGTGCAGACCTGTTAGCCCCTGTCTCCACCTGGATATTCAACACCTCCCTGCAGTCTTGAAAGGTCCCAAACTACTTCAATGTTGCTGCTATTGTTCCGGGTCCCAAGAAAGACAAGATTACTGGCCTCTGTGACTACTGACTAGTTGCTTTCACGTCAATGGTCATGAAAACCGTTGAATGTCTGATTTTGGCATATCTCAAGGATATCAGTGACCCCCTCCTTGAGCATCTGCAATTTGCCTACAGGAGTAATTGATCAGTGGAAGATGCAGCCAACTTATGCCTGAGCTTCCCCTCAGGGCTGTGTCCCCTCACCCCTCCTGTTTTCACTATACACAAATGACTGCACATCCAAGGACAACTCTACCAAAATCCTGAAGTTCACGGATGACACAACTGCACTGGGCCTCATCTCTAACAACGACAAGACCAGCTATGGTGAAGTTGACTGTCTTGTGACTTGGTGTGGTCAGAACAACCTCAATGCTCACCCCTGTTTTACACTGGATGCGTGTCCGCTGTGGTGCGTTTCCGACACGGCAGCCGCAGGTAATCGCCGCCAATAAAGTCAATGCATCAGTTTACACCAGATCCGCTGCGTTGCGTCTCCGCTATGTCTCTGTTCCGTCACATGTCCGGCAGTCCGTCGAGATGCGCATCAAGTCTATTTTTGACGGATACGGATCAAGAACGTAACACAGAGCGCATGCGCCAACTCCTCTTCACATCATGGACAACGAAAAGTTAATTTCAGAGGTGGAGAAACATGGAATTGTGTACGACCCCAGACATCCTTTTTGCAAGGATAATAGTAGAAAGGAGAAGGCGTGGAGTGAAACTGCAGAAGTTTTGGGATTTGACGGTAAGTTGAATCTTCCAGTTAACTATGTAAATACTTGATTTTTAATGAAAGTAACCTGTACTGTGAAGTACTTGTAAACTCCTAATAAAGTGTTCAGTAACCTACATGGTAGTGACACATTATTTTATCCACAGAAACATAGATAAATGTTATGTTAAATGTTATTCTCCCGTGATCATGTGATCACGGTGCGCCGGATCAGATACGGACCACAAACGCGTCCAGTGCGAATTGGCGGACGGCCTTGGACGGAATGGGAATGCAGCGCAGTCACACCGCAGCGGATACGCATCCAGTGTAAAACAGGGGTCAATGCTGCCAAGACTGTGGAGATGAGGACAGCCCCGCACACTCACTCGCCTGGTGATTAAGGCCAGAACATGTTGGTGGTGGAGTCATTTTAATTTCTAGGGTCTACCCTCCAATACACTGAAGTGGGATAAGCACATCACATCCACCACAAAAAAAGCCCAGCAGAGACTGTTCTTCCTGCACCAACTCAGGAAACTCAACATGTAATGACGAATCATAATGCACTTTTATTCAGCCATCATAGACATAATTAATTAATTAATTGCTAAATAACTAAGAATACATCTAATATTGCCATACATATAGCAAGATTACTTCCATCTATTGCACTTCATCTTGACTGTTTATTGTTGCACTGTTAGGAGTGTTGTATGTACCATATTGCCTATTTACACTGTATGTATGTATGTTCAGAGTGATGGGGGTGTGTAGGTGTACAGTAGGCGCACAGGTGAGTCGGCAGGTGTGCAGTATGGTGTGTAGGTGCACAGTAGGGCGTACAGTAGGGTGTGCAGGTATACAGTACAGTGAACAGGTGTGCAGTAGATTGTGTAGGTGCACAGTAGGGTGTGTAGGTGTGCAGTACCATGTGTACTAGGGTGTGTAAGTATACAGTAGGTATACAGTAGGGTGTGTATGTGTGCAGTAGGTGGACAGTAGGTTGTTTAGATATACAGTATGGTGTGTAGGTGCACAGTAGGGTATACATTAGGGTGTGTAGTTGTCCTACACTAACAGGAGGACTATTCCATACTATAACTATAGGCTGTGTAAAGAAATACTTTCTCAAATCCAGTTTAAAATGTTCTCCTGCTAATTTCCACCTATGACCACAAGTTCTTGTATTTGAACAAATACTGAAGTAACTATTTGGTTGAAAAGCATGCAGACCTGTTAGAATCTTATATACCTGGATCATGCCCCCCCTTAGTCTCCTTTGCTCGAGGCTGAACAGATTCAGCTCAGCTAACCTCTCCTCTTAAGACATTCCTCTAAGAACAGGAAACATTTTTGTAGCCCTGTGTTGTATCCTTTCTAAGGCAGCAATGTCCTTTTCAAGGTAATTTGACCAAACCTGCACACAATATTCTGGGAAAAGCCGTACTAAGGAATTGTATAGTATATCATCACCTCCCTTAACTTAAACTCCACACACCTAGAGATGTAACCCAACATACTATTGGCCTTTTTAATTGCTTCTCCACACTAGTGAGAGTGAGACATGGAAGCATCATCATACAGACCAAGGTCTTTCTCACAATCAGCTTCCTTTATTTCAGTGGAACTCATAAAATATCTGTACTTCATATTTCTGCTCCCTGCATGGATTACCTTACATTTGTTTACATTAAATTTCATCTGCCAGGTATCAGCCCAGCCACTAATGAATTCAAGATCCAACTGTAGCCTTTGTGCTGCTAGTTCAGTATCTCCTACACCACCCACCTTGGTGTCGTCTGCAAAGTTTACCAGTTTACTGTATATATTGGTGTCAATAAATTAGTTTATGTAAATTAAGAATATCAGTGGCCCTAAAATTGAACCCTGCAGTGCCCCACTATGAACACAGACCCACTGAGACATTGTGCCTCTAATAACTACCCGCTACTTCCTATCTGTTAATCAGTTTTCAATCCAAGTTCTTAAAATCCCTGTTGCTTTGAGCTTAAGCAGGAGCCGTTTGTAGGGCACAACATCGAAGGCCTTCTGGAAATCTAAGTATATCACATCGTAGGTGTTTTTATGATCAATTTCAATTACAGCTTCCTCAAAGAACTCAAGTAGATTAGTTAAACAGGATCTACCTCTCCTAAATCTACGCTATCTATCCCTCAGACTGTTATTTCAATCCAGGTAATCTACCATTTTTGTCTGGATTATAGCTTCCATTACTTTTCCAGTTATCCAAGTTAAACTAATTGGTGTATAGTTTGATGGATTACTTCTACCCCTTTTTTGAATATGGGTGTCATATTAGCATGCTTCTAATTAGAAGGTACCACACCAGCAGATAAGGATTTCTGAAATTTTAAGTTAAAGGTCGACAAATAACGTCACTCATCTTTTTTAAAACTATAGGTAAAGTTGCCATCAGGGTCCTGCGATTTATTTATTTTGAGCTTAACTAGGTTTTGTAGCACATCAGCTTCCGTTATACATATATGATACGGTGTGTAGGTGTGCAGTAGGGTGTGTAGGGTGTGTAGGTGTACAATAGCGTGTGTAAGTGTATAGTACGGTGTGCAGGCACATAATAGGATATGTAGGTTTGCAGTAGGGGGTACAGTTGAGTGTATAAGTATACAGTAATGTGTACAGTAGGGTGTGCAGGTGCACAATAGGGTCTAGAAACTCTACTTGTGGTTGTCCAAGAATAGGGTCCCTGTAAAGTCATAGAGGTGACGGTTTGGCCCTTCACACTCCAGCCTTCCTGATAATCCCATCAGCTCATCCAAGGACTGAGCACTGGCAGTTAGAGACAGTCCCTACAAGAGACACACAGACACACATACAAAGGCAGTGAGAGACTGTGTACAGCACCCTCACATATAGACACACACATTGTCTTGTTTCCACCTTGTTTCCACCATCACGGAGCCAGTGCAGGTGTTAGTGCTGTTTCTTGTTTGGTGCCTTTTGAATACCAACCCACATTTCCACCGGTTTCAAAAAGAGTGGAACAGAAATGTTACACAGGCGGAAGTGAGAGTAAAGAAGGATCCATATGAATTCCATTTTTTGGATTCTGATCTGTTTTGGATTTTAACTTTGGATTCTAATTAATTCTAATTCTGTTAAACTGAAAAAATGAGTTTTTAAGTCTCATACTTAAAATACAGATTGTGACTACTTGTATCCACTTCTGTCTCCTTAAAGGCTGTATTTCTCCCAAGTCAGTATGTGTAAGTGAGTTTGTTCTCACTCACTGTTTTACCGCTGTCCTTTTAAGGATATGCAATAAAAGAGTCTGATAAAAATCAAACTTGTCTGTCCACCCCATGATATCTGCCACCCTAACACCACAATATTCTATTTATTCGACTTGCAACATGTTTATTATTATTAATCAGGCTGTCACACCCCACATTACTGCTCCCTTGTTCACTCTCTCTCTGTTGCTTGGTTAGTCTTACCTCTTGTATCAGCCCTCGTGTGATTCACTCCAACTACCTCTCGTCTGCTCCCTCATTAATGGTGTATAAAATGCCTCCCTGTCTTGAGCTCCCCAGTCCAGTCACTGATGTTGTATGAAGTCACTGATGTTACTACCTGCTTGTGTTCCAGAGTGTGCCCTGTGCCTTGTGTTCCTGCCTAATCTTCATCTCCCCATTCTAATCCCTCATGTTCTGTTTGATTTGCTCCATCTGTGTTGTAATGTCCCTTATTATAGACCCTTTGATTTCCCCCCATCCCTGCCTTCACCTCTGCCCTTGCCCTCAACATGACACAGGCTTGCAGATCGATCTTTTGTTTTCCACAGAATAAAAAAAAATGATGCACTGTTATTCCACTAAGTGCTGACAAGTTGTTTCACTGCAGGCACCGGTGATATTAGACAAAAAACTCTATTGATTATCGAGTGAATTTTCCAGCTATATGGAAGATTTGGCCAGTACCAGTTTTGCTGACATTACGGTTCCAAATTCTGAGGCTAGCTTTTCTGTGGTGCTCTGCTGGTGCCGTTTATTTCCTGGCCAAGGGCCAGTTTTTTAAGGTGGAAATGCGCAGAACTAGTTCTCGACTGGGAAAAAGCCCAGCACTGGCCCAGGCACTGCGTTGGTGGAAACAAGGTAACAGAAACAGTGAGAGAGACTGCATAGAGCACCCTCACACACAGACATACACACAGAAGCAGTGAGAGACTGTGTACAGCACCCTCACACACAGTCATACCCGCAGGGGCAGCAATGGAGTGCACAGAGCACCCTCACACATAGACACACACACAGAAGCAGCGAGAGATTGTGTACAGCACCCTCACACACAGACACACCCACAAAGGCAGCAAGAGACTGCATAGAGCACCCTCATACACAGACACACACACAGAAGCAGTGAGAGACTGTGCACTGCACCCTCACACACAGACACAGATACAGAGGCAGCGAGAGACTGTGTGAAGTACTCTCACACACAGACATACCGCCTGTCAGATCTCCCACCTGTCGGATCTTCAGGTTGGTCTCTCCGTCCAGGTTGGAGGTCTCCGTATAGCACATGGCCTGGGGCTCACTGTAGGGGTGCAGAGAGTCAAAGAACTGGCTTCATCTAACATATCAAACCATCACCAAGCCCCATGGGAAAGTGTTCCTTTGCTACAGCAGTACAGTTGGTTTCAGGTACTCCCACAATGCACCTGGCCGTGACACTAACCTAAATGGACTTACAGACACCGGCCAATCTTATCCGCAAAGGGCCGGTGTGTATGCGGGTTGTCGCTGCAACTCCCTAATTAGATTACTAATTAGAGGACTGATTGGCTGAAGAGTCCTCACACCTGGGTTTGAACAGCTGACCTACAGGTTATTCCAAAAACCTGCATACATACCGGCCCTTTGTGGATAAGATTGGCCACCCCTGCACTCAAGCAATACAGATAGCTTCAACTCTGTTTTCTCCCTGACACACACTACCCTTCTAAAAACGCACACTAAAACTGCAACTAACCTGGAGGACACTATGACCATGTCAGCTGGGAGATGCTGCCCATTGGTGACCCTCACCAAGTCTCCAACTGCCACCTGGTGGGAAAGCAGAAGGTTTAGACTTTAGAGTGACCAGGCATCTGCTGAAGTGCCGACTGCATACTGGACCAAATTTGGTCAGGATCATGGTTCATCTCTAGGTAAAGGGCTCTATACTGGCAGAGTCTTTTGTAAAAACCGTCAGCTGTCTGCAAAGCCCACCAGTCCCAGACAAACACATGCACATGCATGATCACCTGGATGAAGGCATTATCAACAACATAATGAAAACCAGCTCATCCTGTAGTACAGGATGCAGGAGCCCCACCTGCTTCCAGATGACATTCTGCCAGGACCCACTCCGCAGTACTGAAATGGCACAAAGTACACAGAACGTTCACTCACTGGTCTCCGTGTCAATGTCCACTCAACAGCAGTACACACCTTTACGGCAGCAGCCAGGCCCAGCTGACGCCACTGTGCCCCTTACCTGTTGTCTTCTTCTTGTTAACTGTGTTGTCAGCTTTGTGCCTCTTCTGTAGCAACAGAAAGGTTTGGTTAGTTTAAAATCATACTTTAAATTGATGAAAAGTTACATGAGAGCGCTGGTGCACTCACATAGTCCTCAATGATCTCTTTGATGCCAGCCACTGTCAGGATGAAGATCAGGGGCACCAGTGTGGTATAGCGGCCTGTTGGAGACACATCTGGGATTTGCTGGGGAGAGGAGCACAGACGTTAACATGATAGAACCTCCTGTGACAAGTAACACATCACATTGTTGGCCAGGCATTCCGCATGCTCACAGAGCAACGGCAATCTCATCCAGACATTATACACGCTAACAGACTCACCGAGCAACTCTCAGCTAGGCATCGCATTTGCTTACAAAGCAAATGGTAGTCCAACATTCAGGCATTCTACATACTCACATAGTAAGCAGCAGTTTCATCTAGGCATTCCTAGAGAGTAGTCGCAGAGTGTTTAAACTATGGCCTGGGGGAACAGCGAGGTTAAGAATAAAGGTGGGGAGAGCTGTAAAGCCCCCTGTTGAAATGAAGGCAGGTACTGTAAAAGGCCTGCACTCTGCTGTCTATATTTAAATGCAAAGAAACTATGCATTAGAAATGCATTAGAAACAGAATACAAGACTTAGAGGTTTTAATCATGTGATGTCATAGGAATAACAGAAACATGGCTGTGTGATAGTGATAGGGATGAATATAATTTTGAAGGTAGAGACTGGCTGGACAGAAAGGGTGGTGGAGTTGCTATGTATGGTAAAAGAATATCTGCAGGCAAGGTAACTCCCTAATGCAAGTAAAGCACAGAAGCTTAATGGGTAAAACTAGAAGCTGGAAACTCCTGGGATTTAATTATGAGAATGTGCACCTAATGTACATGCAGAGGGGAGCAGAACTTTGTATAATGACATCAGGGGTATGAATAATAAAAATTATGTGGTTGTTATGGGTGACTTCAATCTAATGGGTACACAGTGGGACACAGTTATGGGCTCTACAGCAAATGAAAATGGCACAAGGCTGCTTTTTCAACCAGTTTGTGAAATCTCCCACCAGAGGAGAAGTTGTTCTCGGCCTTGTGTTTTCAGATATCCAAAACAGAATGGGTAAACTTCAGGTTTTTGATCCACTTCGCAGTAGTATTTATAACATGGCTAAATCTGTGGTAAATTTTCATGTCCATAAAGCAAAGTCAGGAATAAAAATTTATAATGCTAGGAAGGCAAATTATAATGGGATGAGACAGAAACCAGAAACGGTAAACTGGATGGAGGAAAATACTGCAACTGTAGAAGAGGTGTGGGAATTTTTTAAAATCATATTACTGCCAGCTCAATGGGAGTTCATACCGGTTTCTCGCAAAAACCAACCTGGGAAAGTACAGCCATGGTGGTTTTCAACTGAAATTAAAAAGAAAGCCAAGAGGGAAAGGGCTATTAAACTTGGCTCTGCAGGTGTGGTATCCTCGGACTGGAAGCACGATAATATAATGTCCATTTTCAAAAAGAGAGATAGAAGTGATCAAATAGCTTAAGTTCTATAACTGGAAAATTGATGGAGGCAATAATCTAGGGAAATATTATTGAATACCTAGACACAAATAGTATTCTGAGGGACAGCCAACATGACTAATTTACAGTGGTACCTCAGAACTCGAATTTACTCCTTTCAGAACTCCGGATCGAATCCTAAAAAGATTGAGTTCTGATCGAATTTTCCCCATAAGAAATAATGGAAAACCAATTAATTGGTTCCCAGCCCCAAAAAATTACACCAAAATATGTTTTTTTAGCATTTAAACACAAAATGAACTGGACAAAACAAGCAAAACATAACTGTACTAAACACATCTAAGCACATTTATCAAAACAGCAATTTTTAAAGTAAGAAAATAAATGTATCTAACAATGTGTTCTGCCCCGATCGTCCGCTCCTTCCGTGTGCCACGCCCCCCCGTTAACCCTGTGTGGAATCCCCGTGTGATCAGCTGTTTCTGGTTGTTGTCATTAGTCCTCAGTATTTAGTCTGCATTTCAGTTTGTTTCCCCAGTCCGGTCATTGTATTGTCCGTCTGCGTTTTGCCTGCCTTACCTGTAATTAAACCCCGTATTCCCCGATACCCTGACGTCTGCGCCTTTTTCTCCGTTCCGTCCCCGCTGGGCACGACAATATTATTATAATTAAATGTATTAATGGTTTATTATTAATATTAACATAATTAATAAGAAATCTTTATTTTAAAATATATTTTATTATATGATAATTACTGTTACTGTCTATCATTGTCTAAATGTATTTTTACTGTCTAAATATATGTATCCAGGTAGTGTAAACATGCACGATGCTATCACAGCGAATGCGAGGCTGAGACTGAAGTCTTACCATTTGTTTCCGCTGAGAGACGTGCTGCGTGACTCATTTCCCCACGCATACAAGTTATCTTAGGTCGGCGTTCACAGTCTGACTTCTGAGATTCAGATCGAGCTCTAGGTATTTTTTTTCGAACTGGTTGGTCCGACTTTTAAGAAATTCGAGTTCTAATGAGTTCGAGAACTGAGGTACAACTGTACTTGAGTTTTTTGAGGAGGCCACAAGTGAAATTGATCAATTCTAATTTCTAAATTCTAATAGGTCTAGATGCTGTTCATCCAAATTTGTGTCTCAAAATAAGTTCTAATTCAAGAACTCATGGCCACAGTTAGAAAATAGTGGGGGGAAAACTTTAGTCTGGATCTGAGAAAGAGCTCCTTCTTACAGAGTGTAATTAGACTATGGAATAGTCTGCCCAACGGAGTAGTGCAAGCTAAAACCCTAGATTCCTTCAAATCTGAACTTGACAAAATCCTGCCAGCTTTAAAGCATTACTTTAATTCCCTCCATGCAAGCTCGATCAGCTGAATGACTTCTTCTCGTTTGTAACTTTCTTATGGACTTTTGTTCTGCACACTCACAGATCAACTGTCATTTCTGAAATCCAGGCATTGCACATGCTCACAGAGTCACCATGTGTCTAGCAACCAGGCATAACACACACTCACGGAGTCACCAAGAAGCACAAGTCACTGGATGTCACTCTGTGTGTGTCTCTCTAACAGCGAGGGCGCACATGTTGTCCTGGCCTGATGGAGAGCAGACACGGGGCTCACTAACAGGGTGTATGATTCCCCCAAGCTCCCTGCTCTCCCCTGTTTATACTTTCTGGCTCCATGTTTAGGAAATCATGGCCTGTTTTATTGCCATGGCAATAAGATCAATTCAGAGGGCAGCCTTCAGCCCCCAGTCAGTTCTCCATTCCTCCTCTCCATTCAACTCCCCATCCCAGCCTACTGACTGCTATTTACACTCATCACCACCGAAGTGTATCTCATCTCACCAGCACCAGTAAGCTTACAGACTTTCATTAGTCTCATTACCATTAACATGCTGGATCCCTCATGCTGTTGGGTTCTATAATACTTACAGGCAGCTCTGTCTTTCACACACATGCACAGGTACAAACTCACATGCCCCACCTGGGTCACAGTTAGGGGTTTAGGGTTAAAACACCTGGCTGTACCTGCATTAGGGCGATGAACAGGAAGAAGGCGTTGGCTGCACGGCGAATCTGCTCATAGAGGAAACGTGGCAGGAATGTCAAGATCCCGTATTTTGTGGTGCTAGTGGAGAGAGCGAGAGAGAGAGAGGTGCACATCACCCTTTCACCCTTCCTCACACCAGCTGGAAGGTGAACTGTCTCGGAGTAGACTAAGCGTGCACACACACACACACACATACGCACACCCACGCACCAAGTTTGGACAGAAGGGGGTCATCTGTGCCTACACACACTGACTCTCCAACCGCTGCTTCAGACTCAAATGCCTAAAAATAGGCTGGTCTCAGCCTTGGCCTTGGTGGCCAACATCATCAGTCAGTCTCTCTGCTTCACCTGAGCACTTCGGGCTACAAATAGCACAGAAAACCTTTATGCCTGTCCTTTTAAGTACTAATTAAAAAAACTGCTTTCGATATCGACCCATGACCTTGCAGCTGTGACCGTGTGAGGCCTGAAAGGATGATGAAGATGATGAGGAAGCGTTTCTTTTAGAAGGTCTACTGATTATGTGGAAAATGCCCCACAACTGGTCATCATGTTGCTTGCTGCTTTTACACTGTTAGGAAATGAGAACGTGGAACTATACTGTGAATCATTTCCCTTAACACTGTGCTTCAGTGCTCAGGATCGGCCGTTGGTAGCTAACTCTATGAAATGATGATGACCCTGAGCTAGGCATAATTGTGCTCCAGCACTGTTTAGGAGCATCTCCCATTACCTCTGACTGCCTGTCACTGAAAGCCAAGACCATCCTGTGCACAGCCGATGAGGGTGCGGGGCCAGCTAGCACTCTGCTGTCTGTCAATAGTCACACGACAGGCATGCGTAGCACAGACGCAGGGCAGCACGCGTGTAAAGTATCAATGTGGCTGACACCAATTCTGCGATCAAGCAGAGCAGATAAAAACTCAATAAGGATAATTAGCCAGAAGGTGACACCTAATCTCACCCCCTCAGCTAGCAGGCTGAGCCTCTGCTTTTACTGCTGGCCCTTAGGTGTGGGTTTGGGTTAAGGGATCCTTAAATGCATTGCAAAGACCATACCTGTGTCCTATATGAAACAGATATAGCACAGAGTGAAGGATATTGTGGAATAGATAAAACAGAGTTGAGCATAGTGTGGAACCTAAAAAGATCAGAGTGGACAGATAAAGTCCACAGTTAAGCATGGTGGGGGCCACACAGAGTACAGAGTACATTATAATCAGGAATGGATCAAACACTGAGTGAATTATGTTGTGAACAGTGACGTGCACAGACATTTCAAGGGGCAAGTGCTCAAACTGGGAGGCATGGCCAAGGGCCCCCCTCGGTAAACAAGCTAAAGAACAGAGTTTAGTGAAGGAGGGTTAGAGCACAGTGTATACTGTGGAACAGTTAAAATATAAAGCAGAGAATAGTTTGGAATAGATCAAGCACAGATTGTGGTGCTGAATGGATAAAGCACAGCATGCAGTACAGTGTGAAATGGATAAAGTACAGAGAGGAATTTAGCGAGGAATGGGTAAAGTGCGGAGTGGAGTAAAGCCAGGGGCAGATCTTGATCAGAATGAGTCCTTGCTTTGTCAGAAATATGTCTTTACTCTCATCACCAGATCAATGAAGCATCTCCCCAAATGGATGTGCTAGAGCTCTCAGTGAACCCTGCATGCCAGAGAAGCACAGCACAGCCCATGGCTAATGGCGTCTGTGCTGCCAGTCACACCGTTAGAGACTGACAGCATATGCACTAGGGATATGGGCAAATACACAACTCAGCCCTAATCTCATTGGCAAAACGAAAATAGACACTTTTAGGGCGCAATTGATCCTTACAGGAAAATAAACAGATCAATCATTGGATCAGCCGTAAAGATAGGAGCTGAGAGCACTCAAACCCCAGCTGAGTGACCCTGAATCAAAGCAAACCTTAAAAATACACATCCAGTGCCTGCACAAGTCAAACTGGCTCCCAGTGAGCTGAGGTGAGGGCCCCTGTTTCCACAATCAGAACCAGAGCACACACCACAGCACTCAGTTGGATAGGTCCCATAAGGTGATCCAGTCCCCACAGAAAGGTTCCTTAGAGACTCAGTGCTGCTTTTACGTGACAGGCTACTTCTACACGGTTCAGTTACTACACAGCCTGTGTACAGATGAGTATCGGTCGACTCATATCATATTTCACGATCAGTTTTCATTTTTTTCCGGAGTCTCTGGATGACCCACGCATAAGATAATTGTGTGAGTCTACAAAGTACAAAAATGCTGCGCTACTGTAGGCCACAAGGACCACAAGTACTAAACCGTGACTGATCGGCGTGAGACCGCATACAGTACGATTCAAACCACAGGCATGGCTACAGGAGTTCAGCAGAAGTGCAGCAGTTTGGTTGCACTTCCTGAACACCGCGATAACACACGGAGCAAGCGGAACGAGCGCGGAGAGAAAAGCTCTCTGACAGAACAATGCTGAGTTCACGGAAGCGTTCGCGATGTAACTTTGTAACACAGTGTCTTAATATTAATGAATGCCGTTTTTTTCTATGCCCTCAAAAATCACATAACTGCTAATCAGCAAACAAACGTGAACCATTTAAATAGATTTTAAATAGGTTTCGGCAAATACAAAAGTCAATTAATATCAAATATTAATAATAATAATTATTTTAATAATAAATACAATGACAACAATGATATAAGAATAATGGTTGTCACTATTATAGTTAGCTATTATCATTGACATTATTGTTGCTGTTGTGATACTTCCACTTCTCATAAAACGAAGGCAGTAATATTCCGCTGAGATACGAAGATGATTCCATCTGACGCGGATACTTAAATACCTCACATGGTTGTCGCAGAACTTCACCGTTTGCGGCTGGTTCAACAGGATCGTTCTCGCCGTCGCGTCTACCGGGTCCGCTTGCGACGTGGTGCCCGACATCTCATCATCTGCCTTGTGGTAGCCAGCCGACGAGCAGGAGGGTCCTGCGGGGTGATGGAGAGGAGACCGCGTGTGGTCAGAGAGCGAAGTGAGACACGGGACGGGAGGAGGGTGGAGTATGGAAATGAGGGATGTGGTCCGCGTCCTGTGCACGGGGATGATGGTGATGGTGGTGGTGGTGATGATGATGCGCGTCAGATTCACCGAGCAGCACGGACCGACGCCCCCGGACCCCAGGGAGAAGCTGCTGATCCGGACACAATGGCAGACAGCTGGCACGCAGACACATTCGATGCGCTGCGTTCACGCGCCACTCTCGCTATCTCACAGCCCCACTTCCCCTGATCAACAGCCTTTCCCCGCTGTGGCCGCACAGCTCCCATCTTTCCATGCGCTTATGTTTCTTTCACTTAGATCGCGCCCGCCTACATGCAGCGATGCGGCGCGCTGGCGGACGCTTCTCCATCATCGCCCCAAATGGACAATGGGAGCCTGGGAGAGACCAGTTTAATCAGCTGGCTCTGCGGACTCCAGTTCTACTGCAGCTGACCCATCATTCGTCTACCCACCCTCGCCTCTTTCTTGCTATGTTTGCTCGGGTGACTGGGTCACTCCGACTCATCGGGCCGGGTCCGTGTGCGTCCGATGTCCGGCGAGGATCGCAGCCGGTTTGTGCAGGGAAGCGGAGACCCAGCGCCGTAGTTAAAGAGACAGGCGCAGCCTATGTGCTCAGGAGGACGGCTTACGGCTTTAAATTAGTTATTAGTAAGAGAGTATTCCCAAATGATCATATTTCACGAATAAATGATATTTCATGTAAGCAATCACGGAGACCCCACACCATTACAAACACAGACGATAAAAATGACTGTACAACGTTTCAAGCTTGTAAATCATGTAAGCCAGCAAGGCATGCTATGGGCTGACTGGGGTTTTACGTTAAACCAGGAAAATGGACAGGAACTAAAATGCATAGGAATATAGGAAAATGCAGAATGCACAGCCCAAACCCCCAAAAAACATTATTTCTTATTTCCTGTGTCGGTCCAGAAGCTCATTGGTGGTTTCGCCGACTAACTACTGACTCGAAACAGATCCGATTCGAAGAGAAAGAGCCAGAGGGCAGGAGGCTCGCGGTATTTAAGACTGCGGTGTGTTGGGCAGCGTGATGCGGTCTTCATGTTATGCTCATAATTGTGCACCTGCAGTTTGCAATACCAGCGTTAATTTTTGTGTTTTTGTTTTCAGTATATTGTTCAAATGGTATATACAGGAATAGATGCAGAAAAACAAAACAGAAAAAAAACAACTGCCAAGTATTTTTCCCCAAAACAAAAGAAAATTCTGCAGCACAGTACAGTATATACCACACAAATAATCCACCATAAGCTCTACATCACACCAGTAAATCACAATACAATCTAGACCACACCAGCAAACCTCTGTACAATATAGATCAGTAAATGAGAATACAACCACAGTACAGTCCATGGGACCACAGTATAGCCTACACCAGACCAGCGAACCAGTAATACAATCAACAACACACCAGACACTTTGTTATACACATTATTTAGTGTTAAATTATAATATGAAGATCTTCCTCCAGTTTACTTATTTTCACCCGCAGCCAATCCATGCAGTGGCTGTCCAAGGCCACGCCCACACAGAAGGCGGCATTACTCAAGCACTTCTCCATGGCAGGTGAATGGCTGCTCTGTTGCCAGGGAACCTCCAATATCATCAGCTGAGTTTGGGCCTCTAAGGATAATCCCACAGGTTAGGTGTGCGCGCACACACACACACACAAACACACACACGCACACACACACACACACACACACAGATTCGTGATTATATCTTTGTAGGGACTCTCCATTCATTTCTATTGGCAAAACTGTAATCCCAACATAATGACCCTAACCCCTACTCAGCCCTAACCATACCCATAAGTATAGCCAAACAAAATATGAGACTTCTGGCATTTTTAGTTTTTTGATTGCATACACAGATCTTGGTGGGGATCTAAAAATGTAATATAAACATAATGCATACACAGAAAGACACACATAAACACACACATAGCAGCCTGCTAATCTCACTGGAATCAATACTGATATGCCTGCAGGGTGAACAGAATTTCCCACATGCTAAGAAAAAACAGCCTGACATGCTGTAGCTTGTAAAAGCATATGTGCAGACACACAGCTTCCTGCTTCCCACATGCGTGTTTGCATGTCCTTATATGTAAAGGTAGGCAGGTGTGTGGGTGTGTGTGTAAATGTTTATATTTCATGCACTTCCTATGCAGCAGCAAACACTGGCAGAAGGCAGCATGCACTTGGGATGCCCAAGCAGCAGGGGGGCGCCAATCTGTGCAGCAAAACTCACTTTTATCAAACCTGTCTGTCATCCGGGAGCACATGGTGGCCCCTATGGGTGGGTCCTCGTCACGGGAGTCCTGGCTAATGGGAGTCAACACTAACTGCTCTGGAGCAGCCGGTCAGAGTGAAGCCACAGGAGAGAACAACAAACAAGGCAGGACATCAATGGGAGTATAAACACTGCAGCGGGTTCACTGCACAGAAAGAGCTAGGTCAGCGAGACACAAGAGTGGTCAGCAATATACAGCTATCGTTGGCAAGTTACAGGAGCAGTCAGCAGGTTACAAGAGTGGTCAGTGAGCTACAGGAGCAATTAGCAAGTTACAGAAGCAGTTGGTGAGTTATAGAAGTAGTCAGTCAGTTAAAGAAGCAGTTAGTGAGTTACAGGAGTGGTCATGTGTCAGTGAGGCACAGGAGCGGTCGCGTATCAGTGAGTTACAGAAGCAGTTGTGTTTCAGTGAATTAAAAGTGTGGTTGTGGGTTAGCGAGTCACAAGAGCAGTCAATGAGTCACAGGTGCAGTCAATGAGTTACAGGAGCCATCATTGAATTGCAGGAGTGATCAATGAGTTACAGGAGCAGTCAGTCAGTTACAGGAGAGGTCATGTGTCAGTGAGATACAGGAGCATTCACTGAGTTATGGGAGCAGTTGGCGAATTACAGGAGCAGTCGTGTGTCAGTGATTAACACGAGTGGTTGTTTGTCAGTGAGTTATGAGAGCTGTCATGTGTCAGTCAGTTACAGAAACAGTCATTTCAGTGAGTCACAGGAGCAGTCATATTTTAATGAGTTACAGGTGTGGTCTTCTGCTAGTCAGTAAAAGGAACAGTCAGTGAGTTTCAGGAGCGGTCATGTGTCAGAGAGTCACTGGAGCAGTCAGTGAGGTACTGCAGCAGTTAGTGAGTCTCAGGAGCTGTCAGTGAGTTACAGGAGCGATCAGCAAGTTACAGAAGTGGTCAGTCAGTTATGGGGTGGTTGTGCATCAGTAAGTTACAGGAGAAGCAAGTGAGTATCAGGAGTGGTCTGTGAGTTACAGGAATGGTGTGTGTTGGTTTATGTCAGTGAGTTGCAGGAGTGCTCAGTGAGTTACAGGTGCAGTCAATGAATTACAGGAGTGATTGTGTGTCAGTGAGTTGCAGGAGTGGTTGGCAAGTTACTGGGGCAGTTGGCGAGTTACAGGAGTGGTTGCGTGTCACGGAGTTACAGGAGCAGTTGAAGAATTACATGAGCAGTCAGTAAGTTACCGGAGTGGTCGTGCATTAGTGAGTTACAGGAGCAGCAAGTGAGTAATAGGATTGGTCCAAGAGACACAGGAGTAGATGTGTGTCAGTGAGTTAGAGGAACAATTACAGGAGCAGTTGTCAAGTTACAGGAACGGTCATGTGTCAGTGAGTTACTGGAGTGTCAATGAGTTACAGGAGCAGTTCATGAGTTACAGGAGTGGTCGTGTGTGAGTTACAGGACCGATCATGTGTCAGTGAGTCACAGAACCAGTCAGTGAGTTACAGGTGAAGTCATGCTTCAGTAAGTTACAGGAGCAGTCAGTGAGTTACAGGAGCAGTAATGTGTTAGTGAGTTACAAGACATTGAGTTACAAGAATGGTCATGTGTCAACGAGTTACAGGAGCGGTCAGTGAGTTACAGCACTGATTGTGTGTCAGTGAGTTACAGGACCAGTCATTTGTCACTGAGTCACAGGAGTGGTCAGTGAGTTACAGGAATGATTCTGTGTCAGCAAGTTACAGGAGTGGTCAGTGAGTTACAGAAGTGGTCGTTTGTCAGTGAGTTACAAAAGCAGTAATATGTCAGTGAGTTACAGGAGCGGTCAGTGAGTTACAGGATTAGTCATGTGTCAGCAAGTTACAGGAATGGTTGGCGAGTTACAGGAGTGGTCGTTTGTCAGTGAGTTACAAAAGCAGTCATATGTCAGTGAATTACAGGAGTGGTCAGTGAGTTACAGGAACGGTCATGTGTTAATGAGTTACAGGAGTGCTCCACACAGTACAGTATGTTTACATGGAACAGTATGTGAAGAATGCTACTATGCAGTAATGGCAGCCCTGCCCCCTTGAGGCCATGGAGTATCAGGACAAATGAAATGCTGTGTCACTGCCAATAACAGAAGGTCTACCTGCCTGAACAAAACAAAAAATATCTAGATAACAATCTCAAAGTTTTTATAAAAAGGCATTTAAAATAATCTAACTAAATATTTGAAACATTATATATACAGTATATATATATATATATATACACACACACACACACACACAGGTACCTCGTTTCTCGACCTTAATCCGTTCTGGACTCTGGATCGAATCCTAAAAAGTTGATTGAATTTTTCCCATAAGAAATAATGGAAAACCAACTAATTGGTTCCGGCCCCCCTAAATTACACCTAAATGTGTTTTTTTTTTTTTTAGCATTTAAACACAAAATGAACAGGATAAAACAAGAAGAGCATTTTTTTCTTAATGGCTTCCAAAACGATAAAGATCTTATCCCAACATTACCAGTCCTGCCCCGATCGTCCGCTTCTTCTGTGTGCCACGCCCCCTCGTTAACCTCGCGTGGGATCCCCATGTGATCAGCTGTTTCTAGTTGTTGTCATTAGTCCTCTGTATTAAGTCTGCGTTTCAGTTTGTTTCCCCAGTCCAGTCATTAGGTGCGTTCTAGTGATGGGTCATTCTTGAACGATTCGTTCATTTTGAGCGAATCTTTAATGTGACTCAGGAAGAACGAGTCATCTCGTGGGAGTGATTCGTTCAGTCGCGCATGCGCACTTGTGCAACTTCCTATAGTTTCTGTATTGGAATTATTGATTCACCTGTTTCGAGTCTTCGGGTTTTTAGAGTTGTTCGTTCATCACGTGACAGCCCCATAAGCTTAACCAATTCAGTCTGAGTCGGAAACAGAATTGATTAGTTCATCTCTCGAGTCTTCGGGTTTGAGTCATTCGTTCATCACATGACAGCCCCATAAGCTTAACCTATGCAGTCTGAGCCCGAAACAGAATTGATTAGTTAATCTCTCGAGTCTTCGGGTTTGAGTCGTTCGTTCATCACGTGACAGCCCCATAAGCTTAACCAATTCAGTCTGAGCCCGGAAACAGAATTGATTAGTTCATCTCTCGAGTCTTCGGGTTTGAGTCGTTCGTTCATCACGTGACAGCCCCATAAGCTTAACCTATGCAGTCTGAGCCCGAAACAGAATTGATTAGTTCATCTCTCGAGTCTTCGGGTTTGAGTCGTTCGTTCGTCACGTGACAGCCCCATAAGCTTAACCTATGCAGTCTGAGCCGGAAACAGAATTGATTAGTTCATCTCTCGAGTCTTTTGAGTCGTTCGTTCTTTTGTCACGTGACCACTTACCGGCTCAGTACCTCAGTCAAATACTAACATAAAATTCCATTTGTTGTATGTTGGATCATATTTAGAAATTATCATAAAATTATCAAAAATATCTAAAACGCATTTTCTTATAAATAAAAAAAGTCTGTCAATTTCTGTCACTATGATTTTGTTACTGTTTCTTGAGGATCTGTGGTGTGTTATTTTATAAATAAATAATCCTGTTACAAATAAATTATTGATTAATTTGTCCTTTCATTGTCTTTGTCTATCAGGAAACAAACACTAGGCTATATAATAAAATAATCCAAGCCTACAATTACAAAGTAGTTAATAATCGTACACTATTCTATAGCAGTGTTCATTTTTACTCCAATTTTGAGTTTCCTGGTATAATAATTGTTTTTCCTATGCAGACTTAACATATTGATCTAATATTTGTATAAAAAGATTGGTCAAAAAGGACATAATGACAAAGTAAAAGCAAATAACATTTTGAATTTGAATGATTAAGGTTAGTTTAAAATATTAAGGTTATGATAACTTAAACTTCAAGTTGTAACCCAAAATGAAAGTCATTTACTTAAAAATATAATGTGCTAGGGTCACACAAAGGTTTAACCAATGGTTCAGCTGAAGGACAACTGTTACTCAAGACTGTCACCAAGGGAACGGTGACCTTTCCACACCAATCCCCCCTTGTTTTGCACTAGGTGAGGAGCAGAGAAGAGTCTAAGACAGATTTTAACACCTCAGGAGAATGAGCACTAGAAAAAGGAGTGATGTTTGGACTCAACTTCAGCCACTGAAGCAAAATGCAACATATGCAAAAAAAGTGTTTCAACTAAAGGAGGAAGCAGCTCTAAGTCTAAGATATTAGTTAAGTTCTCCCCAAGCGAGCTCGATGGGCCGAATGGCCTCCTCTCGTTTGTATAGTTCTTATGTTCTTATGTATGTTCTAATTTGAGGAGGCACCTTAAGTCCTCACATCCAACTGTGCTGTTAGCACAAGTTAGAACAGGGACTGAAGATGATAGCCCTGCAGCAAGTGGAGCTGTTTTACCACCAGGACTTCTTCTGCTGGACCTTCGACAGCTTTGGCTGGCATGCTGACCACATCTACAGTATCCAGTACACCAGCAGAACCCACCACCATGCAAGGAGCAGTTAGGCCAAGGAGACCACAACAGCAAACTTCAATGAGCAGTTTTGTAACAAGACCAAAGTATCCATTAAGACAAAGCAAACTTGATGAGGCTCTGGTGAGAATGATTGCTTGTGACTTCCAGCCATTTTCTATAGTGGAGGATAAGGGCTTCAAGGAGTATTCACATCTTCTGGACCTGTCTACCTAGCAGAAAAACACTATCAAAAACTGTAATGCCTAGGCTGTATGAAAAGTTAAGAGGTGATATATTAGACAAAATCAAGATTGCCTCTGCTGTTTGTCTCACAACAGACTGCTGGACCTCTTTGACTACAACAAGTTACATGACTGTGACATGTCATTTCAAAGAGGACTTTCAGATGACCTCCTATCTCCTGGACTGCTTTGCTTTGACAGACAGACACACTGCTGCTCACCTGGCAAGGGAGCTGACAAGGGTTACAAATGAATGGGGTGTGGGTGACAAAATTGTAGCTTGTGTCACAGACAATGCCAGCAACATTGTTTCAGCCCTGAAAGACCATCTCCACTGGGACCATATACCTTGTTTCGCCCATATGCTGAACCTGATTGTCAGAGCTGCATTGCA